CAGACTTGCTTGGGAAGAATAATGGCCCATCCTGTGTCACCAGTTACTTTATACTCATGTTCAGTTAGATGAGAACCCAATGTTATGTTTCTAGCTTGATAAATGTCACTTGTCGAGGAGCCATTTGCATAAGCATTATTCTAGAGTCTCATCAACATCACAGCAAAAATCCCTCTGGCTGCTCTGGACAGGGTTTCTAACCATGGCACTGTTGACATTTGGGACCAGATGGTTCTTTGTTATGGGGGCGCCACTGTGCACTGTGAGATGTTTAGCAGCATCCTTGGCCTCTACTCACTAGATATTTCATTCGAAGTGAAAACAAGCATTTAATAAACTAATTTTTAGGGCCTTTGACTGCTTGTAAAATCTATAGCAACTTTCCTACCCACATATGTTCTGTCCATGGCCGGCTACAAGGTATGAGGACAAAATGCAGTCTGGTGCCAAGTTAACGGCTTGGAGGGGAGGAGAGAGAGGTACATGCACCTCATTGTCACTTTTTCTTCTTCCACAACTCTTTTTACCATTTTTCCCCCAAGGTAGGTGTGGGTTATGAGCTAAAACGGGTTCGGTCTGAATTGTTCATTTTGATTCAATGTAAAATAGTATCTCTTCTGACTCCGAGGGGAGAGGGCCGCTTCTGCCCAGGACAGCGTGGGACAGACCTGTGTGACTAATCCACAAAGTGGTGGTTTCCCTTCATTGGATGGAGCTCTTTGCATCTCCGGCCTTGACGTGTTCTTCCTGTGAACACGCACATCAGTTATCTCCCTCTGATAGCTTTTAGCCATGTACTGGCAGTTGCATGAATGCCTGCCTCCTCCCCCTCACTGGAATGTAAATTATTTGAGAGTAGGATCTGTGTAAACTCCACAGCACTTACGGTGGTGCCTGGCACACAGCATATGCCAAACAAATGCTGTGTGCACATAAGAGCAGTGCCAGAACAGACCGACGGCCGGCTGTAGGAACCGCGTTTACAAGGGGGTGGCCAGGGTACCAAATGGAGCAGAGGGGGGAAGGATCACTGCAGTTGATGTGCAGCGAAGTGAAAGCCACATTTTTAGAGTCTAATGAATAAGCAGCGACTTCCACCAAGATGGAGGCATAGGTGGATGTACCGTACCTTCTCACACAACCAAGTTTAGAGACAACTAAATATTAGCAACAGAAAACACAGCCAGAACACAGAAAATTGAACTTTTCGGAAGTCTGTTAACAACAAATTCTTCAGCCTGACCGGTAAGGGGCGAAACCAGCAGCTGGTGGAGCGGGGTTGCACAGGAAAACTCGGTCAGACGGACTCAGGCCCGCGGAATCCAGGCGCAGGGTTGGACCTAGTGAGCGACCGAGCGAGCGACCATGGGGGAGACAGCGGGGGAGCGGTGCTGCGTGTTGACTGTGGTCTCGCATTTGTGCGCGGGTGGACAGGTGAGGGAGTGGGCGGTTGGACCGGGGCCGGCGGGTCCCCGCGGCAAGCGGCAGTGGAGGGCGCCGCCATTTCCCTGCTCTGACCCCACCTCCACATACAGCGTCATAACCCAGCGACTCTGAGTGGCCCGGCCCAGGTGAACCACCTAAGGTCTGCTCCTCACCCAGCAGTGAGAAACAGCAGAGGGTGCCGCCATTTCCCCGCTCTGACCACGCCCCCACATACAGCGTCACAATCCAGTGACCTGGGAGTCCAAGGCGCCGCTCCTCACACTTAAAGGGCGTGAACAGACCAAAAATGGCTCAAGAAGATCTCAAAGCCCCAGAGCCTATAAATCTAAGCGATGAAGAAATAGCAAAACTCTCAGACACACAGTTTAAAACACTGGTGATCAGGATCCTCACAGAACTGGTTGATTATAGCCACAAATTAGACAAATATATGAAGGCGAAACTAATTGAAATGAATGGAATTGCACAGGAAACCAATAGCAATGAAAAGGAAACTGGGACTCAAATCAATGGAGTGGACCAGAAGAAAGCAAATAATGGCCAAACAGAAAAGAGTCAAGAAGCAAGAATTCAAAGAAATGAGCAGAGTCTTAGGAACCTCCAGGACATCTTTAAATGCTCCAACATCCGAATTATAGGGGTACCAGAGGGGAAGAAGAACAGCCACCAGTGGAAAACTTACTTGAACAAATTATAAAGGAGAACTTCCCCAATCTGGCAAAGGAAATAGACTTCCAGGAAATCCAGGAAGCTCAGAGAGTCCCACAGAAGTTGGACCCAAGAAGGAACACACCAAGGCACATCATCATTACATTAGCCAAGATTAGAATGAAGGAGAGAATCCTAGAAGCAGCAAGAGCTAAGGGGACAGTCACCTACAAAGGAGTCCCCATCAGACTGTCAGCTGATTTCTCAAAAGAGACCTTACAGGCAAGAAGGGGCTGGAAAGAGGTATTCCAAGTCATGAAATCCAAAGACCTACAACCAAGATTGCTCTATCCAGCAAAACTTTCATTTAGAATGGAAGGACAGATAAAGTGCTTCTCAGATAAGATCAAATTCAAGGAGTTCATCATCACCAAGCCCTTATTATATGAAATGTTAAAGGGACTTATCTAAGAAAAAGAAGTTAAAGAAACATGAACAGTGAAAGGACAACAAACTCACAGTTATTAACAACCACACCTAAAACAAAAGCAAACTAAAAGGACAGCTAGATCAGGAGTGGAAACATAGAAATGAAGATCTCAAGGAGGGTTAGCAACAGGGGAGTGGGAGGAGAAGGGGGAGAAGGTACAGAAAATAAGTAGCATAGACAGTAGATAGAAAATAGAAGGGGGGGCAAGAATAGCATGGGAAATATAGAATCTAAGAATCTATAGAATATAGAACTTTGAGACACATGCTCATAAACTAAAGGGGGGGTAATGGTGGGGATGGGGTGGGTAGGGTGGAGGGGAATGAAGGGGGAATAGAACAACTGTAACAGCATAATCAATAAAAAAATTTAAAAAAAATTAAAAAAAATAAAGAAGTTTGTTGGCAAAGGAGAGTGTCAGGTAGTAGCTTGGTTGATGGCAGGATAAAGGCTCTGTCTGTAAAAGAGAAGGTCTCACAAAAGGGAAGGCTTGATGGTTCTGGGACAGGCAGACAGGCAGGGGTCAGGTCACAGATGAAGAAGCTAACCTGGCAAAGGTGGGAGGGGGTTCGCCTCACTTGGAAGGGGGGATGAGGGAGAGACCCAGCAGGGACAGAGGACTGTTGAGCTAGAAAGGGGGGAGACTGCAGTCACGTGATAAGGCTCAAGTTTTCTTCATAAAGCAGGAGTCAGGTACACCCACTCAGAGTTCTGGGGGCAAAAATCTGGGGTTTCAGCAGAGCAGAAAGGCAAACTGAGGTAAAAATGAGTCCGTGGAAGAAACCAAAGGGCTGTTGAGTTGAGAAGGGTGTACATTTGTAGAGGAATCAATTAGCATGATATTACGGCTCTGCATACGAAGCTTGGTCGTCAGAAGCACACAAACGACTGGTGCTGGGTCGGGCCCCAGGGTGGCTGTAACAGTGCCCAAAACTGCACGGCCTCAGGGAACAGAATGGTACTGGAGGCTAGAAGCCCAAAACCAAGGTGTCGGCAGGAGGGCACACCAGTCACGTGGATTTCCCCTCCCAGTGTGTCCTCACCTTGTCTTCCCTCCCTGTGTATTTGCCCAAACTTCCCTCTTATAAGGACACCAGTCACACTGGATTAGGGCCCACCTGAACAATCCCAATATAACTTAATTTGGCTACCTCTGTAAGGCTTGTATTTTCAAAGAACAATTTTAAGGTACGAGGGGTTAGGGCTTCAACGTATCATTTTGGGGGGACATAATTCACCCCCTAACAGTGGGTCCAGGAATGGCAAGGGGGCATTGGCAAAGAGAGTGAGAATGGAAGACACAGCTCATCAGTGGGATGGGCCCAGTGTGGGAGGGCAAGGAGGGTCTGAATTCTGGAGATCAAAGGTCAGAACGACAGGGTACAGGCTAAGGGCTGGAAGGGGAAAGTTGGTCGAGCAGTCGTGGGATGAGAATGAAGGGAGACTGGGAGAATAAGGCTTCGGGGTCTAAACTCTTGGGTTAGTGATAGGAGGTTTGGCCACTGACTCCGGCAGGTTAGCTAGAAGGAAGGTCCTCTGTTCGGTTACGGTCATCCCAGGGGCCAGGGTACTGAAAGCAGCTTCTCCACCCACGTGGAAGAAACACAGAAAGTGGTATTTAGGAAAAGGACGGAGGAAAACTGTTCGGGTCTCACTGTCATCCAGGCACGTGGAAGTTTGCTCTACAGCTCAGGAGGAAGAGCCTGGGAAAAGGGTGGTGGATTGGAGGGGAAAGACTCCTGGACGGGACAGTTCCCGAGAGGGAGTGAGGCCCACGTGCAGGAGGAACCCGAGTGGGCACAGCACTACCTCTGCCGGGCAGCAGCACAGGGGAGAAGCGGTGTCTTTCGGTGAGGACTGGAGAAGTTCGAAATGGCTGCTTCGGGACGGAAAATGAAGGCAACATTATGAGCTGAATATTAACTAGATGCTTCATCTGTGATGGCTATTCCTGGGTGAAAGGTGCCTCGTGATTTACCTCGTACCTTCCTCTTGCTACAATAAGGGAACGGCTGAAAAAGGGCTTCCCTTGGTAAACTAAGATGTCAGAACAGACTCGGTTACAACCTTCTCCCTAAGCTACGTTCAGCTTGGCTGGTACAGGGCCCGTGTTGGATTAACCGCGGGCACACGGAGGCGATACGCAGGGTGAGGGCCAGCAGCAGCCGGACCACCCACAGGGAACAGTTCCAGGTTCCTCCCTCAGCACTGGGGTTGGCGGCACCTCCCGCATGGGGCTGCGGGTGCACACCGAGTCTCCCGTCAGTGCTGGCGGCTGCTGCGATAAAGCCAACGGCCTGAGGGAGAAGGAGGGGGAAACCGGTTGCTCAAAACCATGGAAACTGTGATGATGAGATTCCCTGTGCCTTTCTCCCTTTCCTGAAAGATAAAGAACATATTAACAGAAAAAAAAGAATACATCAAAAACATCCTAGAACATTTATTGCCACAGGTTCCTGATAAAACAGAATCTTGAATAAAATTACACCACTGTACTTAAAGGCAAAACTACACAATAAGCAAGAGCTGTCCCCGACGCCCTTCACTCAGAAACTTCAGGAACTTTCCGCCTCCTGTGACTCTTGTAATTGCCCGTGTCTCCCATGCACTGGAAGCCCCATCCCCGCAGCTTCTCTGACTGAAACGTGTGCTCACACACTGCACGTGTGTGCATGCCCGTGCACAGGAGGCCCAACTGACCTACTTAGTGAAGGAGCTGAGACAATGCGTTGGAAGTTACCCCAACACGATGGAGAAGCTTCTGGCCAAGGAGGCCAGTTTTCTCCTCTAAAGTCCTTACATTCCAAAAATGCCACCACAGTTTCCTGCAATGTGAAAGCTGGCGGGTCTTGTGTTTGTGCCTGTACTGCCTTTCTCCCAGTTTGAGCCTGGTGGTGAGACGCGGGGCGGGGGGGGGGGGATGTGGGGATGAGTGTGGGGCCCGCACCCTGCTCAGGCTGAGTGCTTGTCCCAGAGAGAAGGGGGACAAGGTCAGACCCAGGACACGCAGTCCGCTTCGGCTGGAGGGAGAGAGGCGGACAAAAGCCTGTGCTTGAGACCTGATACTTAACCCATGGCCTCTCCCGCCTCCATCACTAGGTGTCAGGAACCTTCAACGTTAGAAATGGGCCCCCATCCCTCAAGAACTCTGCTGTGAGCCTCAAGAACTCATTTTAAGGCATTCAGCTGGTGGCTTCACTCTGAGCACTTGCCACTTTCATCGTCCCACCGCCCTTGGAACTACACGATGGGCAGTCACAGGGCTGCATATACAGGACATGACAGCTTTCACAGCACGAGTAGCCTGCTGTAAGGAAAGGAGAAGTTGGATGGAGGGGTGGAAGCTGCCATCGTGGTGACCATGAGTCCCCTGATGGGGGCTAGTGAAGTCCCTGTGGCGGGCTGGGGCCGGGGCCCTGTCAGGCCGACGCCTTCGCTGCTCTCCGAGCCTGGTGCTCCTGCTTCGCCCTCTCCCTCTGCTCCCGCTCCCTCTGGATCAGGTACAGCCGCTCCTGATGCCACTGCTGCAGCTTCTGCTCATAGGCGGCGATGTCCTCGGCCTCACAGGCAGGCAGCTGCTCTTTGATGAGCTGGGTGGTCAGAGCCAGAAGGCTTCCTGACTCGACTTTGCCCAGCGCCTGAAGTTGGGAATGTAAGGCCTGTTGGAAACAAAGACACAGAAAAAAAGGAGGTGGTGTGTGGGGGGAGGATGGGGGCCTACGGAAGAGACCACAGAGGAAACGGGGCTGTGTTGCTTGCAAAATCCCCACATATTCATTCCACTCGTAGGAAAAGGCACTTTGCTGGGAACCTGTCAGGCTGCCTTTCATCCGTGCCCTGTTAGCTTTTGTCCTTATTTCCAGCCTAGCAGGTCTGCTAAGATGCACTACACGTGATTTCCCCCTTCGCTTACAAACAGTAGGTGGAACTCCATGTGCTGTGATTCCCTCCAGTTTCTTGTTTTAAATCACAAAGACAACATAAGTATAACAAATTGCATTTCCGCCCTGACTTGCACTGAACCAGGCAGCTCACCCCAAGAACAAAGAACTCGGACATGCAAACAAAATGGCAGAAGCAGCTGAAAAACTGGAAGCCCATCCATATCTTTTCCTTCAGAATAACCGAGATAAGTGTTTGCCTGACACGTGTCAGCAGATGGAAACCATTTCAAGGACTCCGTTCTAATGACGTGCTGAACAGCTCCCGTGAGCGCTCGCACCGCTGCGGGCTTCCACCCGCTGCGCGCACAGAAGGTCAGCTCTTAGGAACCGCCTGCTGACAGCTCTGTCTGAAATGGCAGCTTGGTTTGTTTGGGCTGTGTTCCCGGAGAAGGGAAGGACGGAAAAACTCCCATCTACTTAAGCGCTTCGAGGTGGAGATCATCAGAGAGAGACACTCACGGCCCCCTGCCCCCGCCCCACTGACAAATGCAGTTCCTTGGCACGGGGGTGAGGACTGTGCCTGTGGGGAGTGGAACGGGGGCGGGTCCATGGACTTCCAGGAGGGGCCGGAGGCATAGTGTGACGGGTCTGTCATCAAAGTTATCTGTCTGAGACTAACAGCTATCAGGCAACAGAAAGAAAAGGGAACGTGAAATGAAAATCATCACCCACATGGTCTGAGCCCCGGAGACGGCTGGTGACACTGGAATGAGGGCACGACTCCGAGCCAGAAAACTTGTTCGCACCTAAGAGCTGGCTTCTGCCAGCCTTGGTGTTGTGTGCCGTGGGACGGCGGACTCGGCCACCCAGAGCTACGTGAGGACGGGTGAAATGTGGCAGAGTCTCACACACAGCTGGCGGTCAATAAAGATTTGCCATTTCTTGATTTTTTTTAATTTAAATTATTTTATTGTTTCTTTCCTTGATTTTTAAAAGAAAAGTGTTTTTGGAAGAGTGAGGGCTAAGAATTTAATGTAGGTGCAGATTTCTCTTCTCTGAGATTAATCACATAAGAAATGAGAAAGGTGGCAATTTCAGGAATGGTGTGACAACTTCAGTCAATATAAATATGGAAAATGATAGTTTTTATTTTTTATTTAGCCTTTCTAAATCTGCAACTTTATGCAAAGTTAGGAGGAGAACAGGAAATATAGCTTGAGAATCTCTCTCTGAGAGAGAATAGGAGTGTAGCTTGTTCTACTGCTAATTCTCTGTGTGCCTGGGGAACGTTGGGTAACCTTTCTCTCTGTTTTCATGTTATAAAAGAGGGAGATTGAGTGATGATCTTACAGAAAGAAGTACTGGGAGAAACAGCTGCTAAAAAGTGCAGTAGAATCCCCGTTCTGCTGGGCGGGGGGTGAGAAATGGGGGGGCAGTAGGTTTCCCATAGCTGATTCAATATAATCACTGAGAAGATTTATGGGTAAAATCCACTGACAAAATTTACACTCTGTCCCCAAGTGATATAATCGGTCGGCTGGCATGGATCAGAATGTTTTCTGCTTCATACAAAGAGTTCTCCTTCAGACAGCACTACTTTCTCTCAAGAAGCCAAGGGCTTAAACCTTGTACATGGCTCTTCTTCCTTGATGACCACAGAGCCCGTTGGGGTGTACATATGATAGCTACCAAAGGCAGCTTCAGAGCCAGGGCTGTTTTGAAAAGAAACAGTGGACACTCGTCTCCATCTTCTGTGTAATGCAAGAGAGCACTTCAAATGGCCCTACGTGCACAACTCAAAGCCGCCAGGATGGGCAAAGGCAGGCAGGCGCCTGCACCTTACCTCCATCACTCCCAAACGTGGCTTTGTAATTTCTACCTGCATTTCTGGGCTGTCAAGCACGCTTAGTGCAAGATGGGGAAATGGCCAGATCCTTTCCACCCAGGGTTGAAGTCAGGTGGTTGCTAGGAGCAGGCAAGCTGTTACCCACCCATCAGGCACATGTCACGGATGAGGCGGTAATGACATGCTGCCTCAGGGAACAAAACTGTGGCCCATTAGCTCAAGTACAAAAAAGAATGTAGAAATTCCATTTATTTCTTTTAAGACCACTTTCTGTGTGAAGCAATAAAAAGGTGATTTCCATCAGTCGTAAATGCCTTTGTGGGTGACACTAATGCATGAAAGGACTGCTTGTCAATCTCCAGGGCAGAGCAGCATGTTTAATGCACAGCCGAGAGGGCCTCCGTTCCACTGCGCCTCACCTGAAATCGTTCCAGGTACTGGGGAAGCTTGGACTGTTCGGTTTCCTCCGTGTCCAACTGCTCCATCAGCTCCTCCGGGCCCCGGCGGTCCTCCCCTTCGTGGGACTGCTCCTCCGAAGCCTCAGGGGCCGGGGCAGTCAGAGCCCTCAGGACTCTGTCCAGCACGTCGAGCTATGGGGCACAAAGGGGGCAGGGCCTCATCAGCCAGTGGCCCTCGAAACCCATCGTGAAGAGGGGCTGGAGAGGGGAGAGGAAGGAAATCTGGGATCTAGAAGTCATGAGAAGAGTTCTCTGGTCAAATTATAGAAAATGGAAGTGGTTATATAATTTCACACTAGAATCACCCTGTTGGATGGCATGAAAAACTCAGTATAAAACAAACGATACAAATAAGCAAACTCAGAATTGTTTATATATAAATCAGTACAATCGCATTTGATTTTACTTTCAATCAGCCAGGGAGGAATCTAAGAATTATGCTTGATGGGCACCAAAGATCCCCTCTCCCAGCCCACACCTCCACGCCTTTCCTCCTCAATCAGTGTGGTTCTGGGAGAGGGAAAGGAAAACCAGCACAGACCACACCCAACACAGGGCCGTGGTGAGTGCACGGGGAAGCCTCTGCGCCCAGGCGACAGCCTCCTTCAGAGGAGGAGCCTAGCTCTCGGAATCTGTAAAGTAGGGACCAGCTCAACCCACACACGCTGCTGGCAAAGACCCAGGGGGCACACGTGAAATCTATTTTAACAGGTGACTCCTGCTACCGAGAAAGTAAGTAAATCACAAAACAGAGGGTTTCTTTTTGTTTTGACCCCTCTGCTTCACAGCTTTCACCTTGAGGCACAACTCGCCTGGCCCAGAGGGACTAAGTGTCAGAGAGGGGATGGAAACAACCTCATGGCCAGCATTCACACCTGCTTCAACATCGATTAATTTTGTCCTTGTCATATAAGAACAAAAATCCAGAAATAGCACGAGGCCTTTTAATGGCACTACTACATCACACCCAAACCTGGTACAAGCCCCATCCTTATTAAGTCAGAACATAAAGAATGCAAATCTGGCTCAGATTGGAAGGAATATTTCCCTGGTGAAGGGTCTAGGTATAATTTTGTTTTCGATCACTAGTACCGACTGTAGCAGGGCTAAGTTGGAACATGCATTTAGAAACGCTCAGTTATAAATGCCTGGTAAAAAGTGTAATGACTCACTAGACATCAGTATAAGGAGCCACTGCAGGAACTGGGCCTGCACATCTCTCGACTGAAATGAGAGCTAAGTGATCGAGGTCAAGACAAAACAAAGACCAAAGTAGTAGCTCAAAGCTAATGTTCACTGTTGGGAACCACCCTGCCTGATTTCAGAAGCTGTAACCATCCCCCCCCCCCCCATGGCTAAGGCTGAGTGAATGACCTTTGGACCATAAGTCACTAAGGAGACAAAGCTTATCTCTCTGGCAGAAGTGCCGTGTCTGCTCCTTTTTCTTCACCCTGCTGGCCCCCAGTGCTTGACTGGTTAGCCACTGATGGGTAAGATTCCCCAAGGGGGGAACGACCTAAGACAGGCACCATCACATGGAGGCCCCAGGGAAGGACTTGGGGGGCTATAGCAAAAGGAGGTGATGGACCCTTGCTCCTTGGCTTTGACAAAGCCTGAGTCCTCATTCTGTCTGCAAGAAGTCTCCTAATCTCTTGGCTGCCTTACTTCCTCTGCCTGACTTAAGCCTGAAACAATGACAGAGGGCAGTGCAGCCCTGTGCTGGAAAGGGCGGGCTCCCCAGGTGATCAGGCCTAAGAAAGAATATGTAAACTCCTATGAAACCTGCTCTGCTAAGAATGTTCTCAATTAAATGATAAGGGGCCAAGCAGGAAATGAGTTTGTTTCCCAAAGTTTTTTAGCCCTTTAACTAACAGACCCTGACTCAGAATAAGCCCTTGTAGTTCTTTATATGCTCTCTATTGTTTGATCCTTACTGCCTGACAATAATTAATGAGCTTTATGTATACACCATGTATCCCTGTGCAAACTGAACCCAGTAAAAGCCTGGCAAGGCAAGGGTCAGGGTGCTCCCCCCTTGAGGGAGTAGCCATGCCGTCCCTTTTCCTCCACAGGACTCAGCAGTCTGTGTGAATTTGTCTCGTATCTCATCCATGACACTGTGGACACTGTGGACCGGTGTCCACGTCAGCTGGCGCCCAGTAATGACACCACCAAGGTGCTTCCAGGCCTCACTCCGACTACATGGGCTGCTCACTCAGGAGCAGATGCGGTGGCCTCCTATGGCCTGTGTCATGTGGCTCTAAGATGCCACGTGTCCTTGTAGCCTGAGCTAAGTCTGGTCACTTCATAATGTCAAGAGTCCTAGGTGACCAAGAGAGATGAGCCCTGGGGCTGAAGGCCAGGCTCCTGGGCCAGGCAAAGTGAACTCCTGAGAACTCGGAAAGGAACCCGCGACCCAGACCTCAGCACCACGCCCCCGGCACCAGGAGGTTTTAGTGGAAGGGAAGGAAGGCTGTGCTGTCTCCAGTCCCCAGATTCATTTCCTGTGGGTTTGAGGAAAATGTCCGGGTAGTGCCCCAGGACTCTAAGCAAACAGAAAGGCCAAAAAATCTTAAATGCAATCTTAACCTCTCCTGAGCTAGTGCTGCAGGTTTCCTGGGGAGGGGGCAGTATTTTATCAAAGTCTGGGAGGGGGACTTTCCATTTCAGGGGAGGGGAAGAGTCTTCCTTCTAGACAGGGAGCTATAAAATCAACAATAATCTTATTTTCAAGGACATTTTGTCAGTAACATCGAAGAGGTTTGTGGTTTTTCATTCCTTTTCAACTGGGTAAGCACATGATTCTACAGAAATTTTTTTGAGGAGTAGGGGGCGGGGGAAGAAAACAAAAACAAATCTCAAACCTCACTGGGGAGAGACAGGAGATGGCTAACCACACCGAATCCCGACCGAGGACGTACCGCTTCTCCACACAGCTTCCCGTCTCCCGGGGAGGAGGCCGCCTTCTCCATCACCTGAAGGGCTCTGTCGAGGTAGCCTGGTCGCCACAGCAGCGGCATGTCGTGGTACACGGCCCGCAGCCCTCGCTGCAGCTCCAGCTTCCCTGTGGCCGAGAGAAACAAAGAAGGAGCTCAGCCCCGCCTTCCCACCGCGTCTGTGGGTGTCTGTGGCTGAGGACACCAAGGCCCAGGTACCTTTGCACCCGGCAGCTCCCAGACAGGGAGGGACCACTCCACCTCTGTCTCAAGGGCCCCATCCCACCCAGCAGCCTGGTGGCATTTCAGATGGATGACGGAAAACGTGGTTAAATCCACTGCATATGTTTTTTAATATACACTTTTATAAACTCGTTTTTCTTCCTTTCCATCTGTGCTGGCGGGGATTATCACAAGGATGTCTGAAGCACAGGGCTAAGCGAAGCTCAGAGAGGCTGATATATCTGCCTCTATGTGGAGATACCCTTTGAAGTGAGTCAGACAACAAAAATACTATTTTTGTTTTAGGAACAAAATTTTCCTCAGCAAAGCAGATTCCACAGCTTCCCTACAGTGAAGTCTTGTCAACATTGGACACCTGGCCCTGGCAGGAAACGAACGTGTGCCATTTTCAAAGTGCTTCAAAACATCCCGTTGACAGTATGGAAAAAAGAAAAACTCCTTTTATTCTCCCTTTCTTTACTTGAGTTTAAGAACCTTCGAGCATGAAGTCCTCATCACCCTTTGCCTCACAGGGCATGAGTGTTTCTCCTGGTTTCTCCAACTGTCAGCCCTGGAACTCAAGATGAGGACTAGGGACGGCAGGGTCCTCTGCTGGGGAGGGGCTGTCTCTACTCCTGTGGTGCAGAAGCCGTCTCCGGGCTAAGGAGCAAGGTCACCCTGAGCTGCCAGGTCTTAAATCCACCTTCACTTATCTTTCCTGGGAAGGAGGATTTGGAAGGGCTATAGCAGGGCATAAATAGACAAAGCTTATCGGGTGACAGCTAATTTTAGCCCTTTAAGGTGCTTGGGGCAAGACTGCAGCCACATTCTGGGAAGCTGCTTCCATCCCGGTTGAGTGGGGCTGCCCAGCATGTGATACAAAGAGAGAGAAGAGCTTCCGATGTGACAGCTGCCAGTGCCAATGCACCGGGGCCTCTGCTCAGAACCGAGAGTAACGAAGTGCGTTTTCTTAGCCCGGACCACTTCCTGCAGTATAATAGTCCCGAATGCTAATCTGAAGGCAAAAACACGTAAATCGGTATTGAGAGTAGATGGCAAATAAAGAGAACACAATTTTTTAAAAAGTGGTAAACTCTTTTGTTAGTCTGATGGTCAGTCTGGTGAACTCTGAGATTCTTCTGAGTCAGTTTATATCAGAATCAGTATGAATCAACTTCAAATTCAGCCAAACTGCTATAAATTTGATGATTTTTCAAAAACAAAGGTAAGCAGAATAACGTCTAATTGAGAGAAGGTGCTTTCTCAAACGCCTGTCACCTGAGACAGAGAACGAGAGAGTACTGAATAGGCATTTAATAAGCCTCTGGAAAACGGCACATTTAATGTAGAGTGTTATCCGCCTAAAGTCCACACGACCAGGTTCTGAGGTCACAGCTCAGGAGGCCGTGTCCTGCTGACCTGCCTGATCACAGTGCAGTCAGGGCACTAACGGAAAGCCGCCCCCCACCCCCTATGTGGCACGGCCACACGGTACCAGCGAGTCCCTCTCTGCTTCCCCAAAGTGCTACCAGTTGTGCTAAGTTTCTCTTCCCTCATCTGAAAACAAGACCAAGGAGAGAATCTCAACCCTAACTCTCAGCTTCTCCCTGGACTTCAGATCTAGAGAGAAAAAGATGTTTGTTGATACCGGGAAAGACTCTACTGGCTTGTTCTCCCCAAAGAGGCCCGAACTTTCCTTTCTCTATCCCTCCCTCACACTGGGTGGACAATCCACATCCACCAGCACTGCTTCTCAGCTTGCAAGTCAGGGACAGGCCTTAGGACCCTCTTCATTTTCTTATGTCGTAACTCTAAAGCTGTCAAAGTCTATTTTCGTGTGTGTGCCTAAAAATGAAAGCTGTATAGGGATTTCACTAGCCAATTTAAATCAAACTCTAATTTTATTATGAAGTTAAGAATGCATTAGTTCTGCCCGTGGAAAATAAAATTTGTGAGGATCACTTTGCTTACCGAGAAGTGCACAGCCATACAACTGAGAACTCAGCCCCACTGAGTTCTTCTGCTTCAGGCCTGGGAGCAGCAGGGAAGCCCCGAAGTTCCTCTGCTCTTCCCACTGCAACAGAAGGCACCGATCAGGGTCAGACACGCAGTGAACACTTAATGCAAAATGTGATCGTTAATTACAAGGAAGAAAAAGAACATGTGATAGCATTACGTTAAAAAAGAAAAATAATAAAGCCATAGGTATATTATAATCCCAGTTTTATAAGTAAAAGGTATTTATGTTTAGTGAAAAATACAGAAAGGAAATACCCTAAATGTTGATAGACTTCTGGATAGTGAAATTATGAGTAACTTTGGTTTTCCTCTTTGTACTTTTATTCTCCAGAAATCTGACAACAAATAAGAGCCCCTCGTACAATCAGGAAAGTAAAAAAGAACAAAAACAAAGAGTGTGCTGTGGACCCACACTGCCTTGGACAATCAAAAACCTGACACGCTGTCGGCCTGCATTCACTCACGTGGCCATGACTAGACAGAGCGAGCTTTTGAATTTTAAACAATTCAGCAATGATAAGAGTCCTGCTTGACAGTGTTAAAATAAATACCACTATTAGGTTGCTTTTAGATAGAACTGTGCCTCTCAAAAATAAATTAGGTGATTAGAAATACTTAGTGATCGTTTCTTTCAACCCAGGGTGTAAAATTACACTTCAATAAAACTGGAGCCTTTTGAGACAGAAAAATGGGGCAGACCCACAAGCATGGGTCAGCTGCTGCAGAACGGTAACTGCAGGGACCGGAGACAGAGACTCGCCGGGAAAGCAGGGCCCAGAGGAGGGCCTTGGCAACCCCCCAGACACGAGAGCCGTCATCCTCTCAGTGCTCTGTGAGTCCGCACGGGTCTGAGTCTTGGCTCTGGCTTGGAAATTACAGCACACAAAGCTCGGGCTGCCCTGCACTGACCAGTCTCTGTACCCAGAGGTCAGGGAGGAAGTGGAGAGTGAATGTGGTCTGTAGGCTACAACTGCAGCCTGGTGTAAATGAGGCATCTGGGTGCTAATGGGCGCCCAAACCGGGGATGGCCTTTGTGCAAGGAAAGTGTCATTTTTCAAGGTCGGAAAAAAGCAAAGACCTTGGGAAGAATACAAAACCTCTCCAGGCACTTCTGCAGCACAGATAAGTGAAATTGCTGGTAATTAAGGACCAGGTCATTCCAACTGCAAAAGCAAATTACTCTAAGGCTTGACTTTCTTTCCCCCACATAAACTGCATGAAAAGGGGCCTGGTGAATAGTAAATAAGGAGCCTTCAAAACATTTTTTTCTTTTCTTCAAGGAAAAAGAATGAATGACCTATATAGCATCAGAATGCAACAGGACTAATGGCCAAGTAAGCGGTACCCTTTTTGTGCTAGGAGTCCAGCAGGGCAGTGATGGCGGCAGGAACAGTGACACTCCCAAAGGACTTCAAAAAAGATGAAAACAAACTAACAAAAATAAACGAGAGTCTGAGAGGGGTTTGCCCCTCCATGGTCTGGGAATAATGCAACCACTGCTAAAATACTGGGTCTGTTCTAAGCTGCCAGCCCCTGCTGTATGTACGGGCTAAGCCAGGTGCTATTTCACCAGTGTCCTCTTGTAGGTTTTTCCATTTTATGCTTCTGCCTCTCGCATTGATACAAAGCAAACCCTCAGATCTCCTCTTCCCCCTGCTTCACTCCACCCCACAGCTGGATATCTCAAAAGACTTGCTTATTCTGTCTCCTTTCTGTACCTCTAACTCACTCCACAATCCACTCCAACTTGGTTTCCTGCCCCTTATTCTATGGAAACAAAGGTTACGATTTAGTGCCTTCCTGTTGCTGGATTTAATGAAGTTTTCAAAAGTCCTCACTTACTCAGAAGGAGGCTATATTGTAGACCACTCTCTTCCTGTGGATTCTGTGGCCCCACATCCCTGATTCTTCTTTCGCTCTTTGGCGATTTGCAGACACTTACACGTGGATGTACACACGTTATAAGCAGTCCAGACTTTCCCATTAAGATCCTAATTTCCTTTGTGTGATCTCTTAACTGTCTCAAAATGCAAACTCTTCAGAGCCAAATTAATGATTTCCCCTATAAAACCTCTTCTTTTTCCAGACTTCCCTTTGTGAACACATGGAAACCCTTCTGTCCAGATGTAATGCACAAGTCAGAAACTGAGGGGATGAGATTTGACCCCTGATTCCGGCTCCACAGCTAGTTCAACATCATGTCACTTGCCTCCCGAATAGGTTCATCGGCTACTCTGCAACTCCCCCCGACCCGGGTCCCTGACGACCGCCACCTCTTGTACAGACAGCCACAGCCATCTTCCAAGGGCTCGGACCACAGTCACGCTGACTGCACTCTGACCTGTGACGCCCAGTAGAACCAGAGGCACCTTTTCAAAACACAAATCTGATCATGTTACCCTCTCTGCTTAAAACTTTTCAATGGTTTTCCACTCATTTGAGGATGAAGATAAAACAGCTAACCTAGCATGCTCTGCACTTTCCACCCTTATCCCACCCGACAGCCTTCCTACCATTCTCTTGGCTGCAGCTACACTGAGTATCTTTCTCTCTTTTCCCAGCCCTTTCCTGCACACCAAGTTCTTTTTGCCACAGGGCTTTTGCACGTTATTTCCTCTTTTTGGATTTTCTCCCCTCTTCAGTCAGTTAATTCCTATTCATCCTTCAAATATTAACCCCAGAACTATTTTCTTAAGAAAGCCTTTCCTAAGTTTAAAATACAAACAAAAATTCCCTATAACACAGGCTTTTCAGGGACCCCATCTTTGTATTGCTCATCAGTCACAACTTTGCATCTGTGTGTCCCACTGTTTTTAAATGCCTCTACTCTTCTCAGACCATGGGCGGAAAGGTTTGCTCACCTGTGTGAGTGTGCATGGAGCATCACAGGTGCTCAAGACAGACTTAGTGAGACAGTCCCTGCGGTGTTCACACAGGCCGTGACCCCCCTCAGAAAAGCAGAGCGTGCTGTGAACTCTTCAGAACGCAGGCTGGACTAGAGGACATTTTCAGTGCCTACTCAAACTGGAGTGTTTCAATGTTATATTTGAACTAGGGCAGACAATAGCACAAGACTTCCTCCGTGAAGTGGCTTCCTGGTATTAACTGACGTCTCTGCGCCCCAGGCTTCTCGTCTTTACGGAGTTGTGAGGATTAAATGCATTAATAAATTTAAAATACCAAGAACACAGCCTGGTACGAAGTAAACGCTCTTTCAATATTAGTTATTGTTGTTATCACTGTTGTTATTCTTAGGACAGCAATACGTAATGATTAAGTACCTAACCTAAGGGATAACACCAAAACCCGGTATTGTGGATCGATCCGGAGTAACCACAGGAAAACACTGACATAACTTAAGTAACTGGTATTTAGTACCTAAGGCTGCGGTCTGAGTCAGCACCTAATCGCTTCTTTGATACGCCACGTCCAGCTCTCACTATCAGTTACCAGTTTCTGGACGTCTGAGGAGGACTGGGACTAGCTCAGGTTTCAAAATGTGCACAAGCACATTCACCCGGGAGTCTCGAGAGTGGAGGAACGTCCAGGTCCACTCTGTTAGAGCCCAGCAACTACAGCGTACAGAGTGGACACTCATTCCTGGGCGGCCATGGCTGCGGGGCCGCACCTCAGACAGCTCCTTCCAGGCTCTGACAGCGGGGCTCCCTCCGGCCGCCTCAGCCCTCCTGAGCACCCGCCACTCGCTTTCTTCGGGCTCTCGGGCCTGCCTCGGGTGGATCACTTACAGTGAAGTCTGCCTTCTTCGCCAGGCAATGGTGTAGAACGTGGAGGGAGAGCAGTTGGGTGGAAGGCACTTCAAAGGCTTCCTGCATCATGACCTCAAAAACCACAGCTAAAGCATCTGGCAGGAAGATCAAAGTACAAATGAGAACAAATTAGCTGCAGGTAACAGTACCGTATCTGTGTCTAACTATAAACACTCATAAAAACTGGGGGTGATGGAAAAATAAGCAGAATTAAGAGGTAAAAAGTGCGGCTCCTGGTCCTTGCTCTTCCCAAGCCTTTGGCTTCCGCTGCACATCCGTGTATTCACCACACCAGGTCCCATCACACCACTGCCCTCGGGGGCACTGAGCAGACCACTCACTGTCGCCCAGTCTCCTCTCCCGAATGGCACCACACCTCTGTCCCATCTACTTCTAAAGACTGTGGGACAGGCCGACGAGACAACGCACATGAAAATGCCCCATAAACTGGGAAGCAAACTGAAGGGCACCATGCCTGTCAGCTGGAGGAGCTAAGACGCAGAAAAACGGCAGAGCTACAGGGTTCACCAAAAATAATGCCCCTTTTTCATTACAAAATCTTTTATTACGAAGCCATAGCATGTAATTCTGTAACATAACAGAACAATATCACCCTCAAGCACACCATGTGACATTTTAGGTGACGTGTTCAAATTAAAACGAGTTACTACACGCACATTATTACCCTACCAACCACACTCAAGCAGGCCTTACTTCTGCCGGAGCCTGTATTCTCCGAGTCACCCCGACAAGCAGAGAGGGGCTGGGCTGACTGTGTCTTTCCATGTTCTGGTACTTTCTTGTTGGGGCAAAAGAGGACAAATGCTAGAGGCAATCCTAAATCCTAGGTGTTATTTCAAAGACAAAAAAACTAATGAACATAAAAAAGACAATCGAGCTCAGTTTAAAAGACCTGAATGAAGGGAAAAGAAAATGCTTACTCACAAATGATAAGCACCTAGGTGTGATACACAGCATATTCATTTCCACCTGAACTCTGGTCATCAGAGGTCAGACCTTAAGCAAGCTTAGTTTCCCTCACTATTCCACAAAATAAACAGAAGCCAAGAAAATCAAGTTCAAACAATTTCCTTTTTTTCTTTCTTTGTAAAAAATTCTCATTCAAGGATATGCCTAGTGACTTTTTAGAGAGAGGGAGAGAAACATCGGTGTGAGAGGGAAATGTGGATGGGCTGCCTATTGTAAATGCCCTGACGGGGGACTGAGCCAGCAACCCAGATGTGGGCCCTAACCGGGAATTGAACCTGAAAACTTTCAGTATTTGCGACAATGCTCCATCCAACTGGTTCACCTGGCCAGGGTCAATTTCCTTTTTTTAGTATTTGTTGTTACAGAATGTTGGTTTAAGATGTGGTGCCTGCAGGTGACAGGTACAAGTATTTTTGACTGAGTTGCTGTGGTAACCACTTTTCGCTTACACTAATAATTACAAGAGTTAGCAGTGGTTTGCAGCTGTTCCCAGTCAGCTGGTTTTGCACATGTCACGGTTCGGAATGAGGCCACAGGCAAGAACTCCCATATTGTTTTTACAAATAGGGAAACTGAGATAGACAAGCAGACCAGGAAGTCATCTAGTCAGTAGCAAAATAATAACCTGGAAGAGATTTAAAGAAAAAAACACACCAAATAAACCAATTAAAAAATTAAAGCTACAAATATAGTTTTTAAGAAACTTAGTTTCGCCAACTGTTTATGACTGAATCTAAAATTACACATGAAAAAGAAATTAAAGTTATTTGTCATTCATTATTTATATTCTGTATTTTAGTCATTTTGGGAAATAAAATTAGATTGACCTGTATAACCAATTTAATTTTCCTCCATAATCATGTATGTACTTTGATATTTCCTATCTTAACAATAAAAATATATTATTTTCTAAGTTTTGCCATAAAATATAATAATCTTTATCAAAACTTTATTTTAAAAAAATTTGCTTTGATTCTTCCAGCATACCTTTTAAAGAGAGTAAGGGAATAAGATTGCTACTACATAATTTTTCAATGATACAGTAATACAGATTCTTACATCTGATGTTCAGAAAATAGATTATGAAAATTAGATTATGTGAAAGCAAATTATCTTTCAATTGAATTCAGGAAGTGCATGTTTAAAACTGAGTAAGAAATGGACAAGGGATAATTAACATTTCAAAAAATAACACGCAGGAAATACCCCTTGGCAGCCAGCAGTTGCCAGATTAAGTGGAGACGCAAAGAGAAGAGAGGAGCGGGGTGCCCACACTACGGGCAGAAAGGGCCAACCCCCCGCCTAATCACTGAGTGCTGATGCAGTGGAAAAGGCCGAGGGTGCCGGCATGCAGGGGTGGAACCCCAAGACAGGATACCAGAAGGCAAAGACAGTGCTCACTTCGGCAGCACATGCAGCTGGAATGGTACGGAGATTAGCATGGCTCCCGTGCATGGTGACAGGTAAATCTGTGAAGCATTCCATGTTATTAACTAAACAAAATAGAGGCAAGCAGTATACCAGATGCAGAGTTCACACCAATGGTTTTAAGGGTAATCAAGGAACTTAAAGAAAGGATGAATGAACTCAGTGAGAACTTCAACAAAGAGATAGTAGGCATAAAAAAGGACATTGGAACCATAAAAAAGAAAAAAACAAACCAGTCAGAAAAGAAGAGTACAGTATCTGAAGCGAGTGAATACATTAGAAGGAATCAACAGCAGACTAGTGAAGCAGAAGATCGAATCAGCAATTTGGAAGAAAGCACCCGGTCAGAGTTCCTACGTGGCCCCAGTCCACATTCACGGTCCTGAGGTAGCAGCTACCCTACCACAGGCGTGGCTGCTCAGGGATCCCGGGGGCCACCCGGCCTGGTGAAACAGTGACGTGGAAAGCCAGGGTGTGTCTTTACACACTGGCAAAGCCTCCTCTCTCCTGTCTGTCTGCACGGCCACAGGCACAAATGTGCTCCACTGCACTCCCTGTCCACGGGAGCCTGGCAGGCTCTGGTGGGTCAGCGGCAATCACCCTCTTCCCTCGGCCTCCCTCGCTGCAGCCGAGGTTAGAAGCCACTTTAAATGAATTTCACTGAGTTGGAGGATCTGAGGGAAAAGAGAGCTCAGAGATCATGGGTCCACTTATTCACAGACGAACTAACAAAATTCTAGGGAGGGAAAGTGATTTTCCTTCGTAGTGACGGTACTGCTCTTTCCAGAAGAAGTCAACTGATTTTATGGTTTCATATTTTACATAATACAACAACTCTGATTTAAATAAAATAAAGGTAGCAAATGGTGCCAAAAAAGGGGGGTAAGCTAATAACAGCATTACTATTACCTTAACTAGCCATGGAAGCTCAGGCAGGATTTTTTTGCTTAACTAAATTCACTGTCCTTTGCCTAATGAGACACAAACAAATACACTTGAGAAACTCAGAGGAAAAAACCTGGATATAACTTTCCTCTCTGGCCAAGTGGCATGGTGCATCAACTACAGATCTATTTCTGAGTGATGTGAAGAGATATCATTAAGGAATACAAAAGGGAAAGCGACCACATTTACTTCTCTTTGGGTGTTGAAACCCCATTATAAATGGACCTGGGTTTGGTTTCTTACCTTTGTAATTGTCTTTCTTTATGAAATAATCCATCAGTAAATTGAATGTAAAGTTATCAGGAAAAATTCCATATTGTACCTGCAATGAAAATGGAAATAAAAGGAAAATAGGAGAAAAATATCCACTTTGATTTCTAATGCATGCCCATGTATTATTCAGGACAAAACTCGCTACCATTAGCATTACAGCATTTGCCTATCCTTTCACAGCATCGGTGACAGTGAAACGGACCCTGTGACTTGTGAGTTTTGGTAACTGGAACTGCTGGTCGGGGGAGAGAGTTGTGAGGAGGTGTCTGATATACGATTATTGATCTGTGAAACACAAACTCAACTCTAACATGTCATAGCTCAAGAAATAAATACCACACCCCCCATACTCCATGGGTTCAGAGATTCTTTTTCTAATCTAAGGTTTGAATATTCATGTAAAAAAATGGACTCTCATTTTAAAAAGTCAAGGAAATAGATTCTCCCCAAAAGCTTCCTAAAGAAACATATCCCTGCCACGACCTTGACTTTAGCTTGTTGAAATGTTTCATACTTCTAATGTCCAGAAATCTAAGATAATAAATTTTTGTCATTTAAAAAAAAAGGACTCCCATAAGAAACCACACATTATCTTCTTATGCAGCACTTTTTGGTCCTCAGACGTTTTTTCTTCCTCAACTCTACTGAGATATAATTGGCATATAATAACATTGTGTAAGTTTAAGGTGTATAACGTGATGAGTTACGACACGTTACACGGAGAAGTGATTACAGGACCAGGTTGGCTAACGCCCCCGTCACACACATTACACAGGAGAGAGCTGTTAATTACAGTCACTGCGTTGGCCGTCAGACCCTCCACACTTACCATCTTACAGCTGGACCTTTGTCCGCTCTGGCCATCACCTCCGTCTCCCACAGCTCCCAGCCCCGCACCCACCATTCTACACTTCATTTTTTAGTTTGTTTTTTTAGATTCTATATATAAGTGACATCATGGGGCATTTGTCGTTCTTTGATTGACTTATTTCACTTAGCATAATGCTCTTAAATTCCGTCCAAGTTGTAACAAATGGCAGGATCTCTTTTATAGCTTCATAACATTCCATTGTGTATACAGAACACACCTTTAAAAAAATCCATTCATTAGTTAATAGACGCTTAGGCTGTGTCCATATCTTAGCTTTGTGAATGATGCTGCAATGAACGTGGGGATGCAGGTACCTCTGAGACAGTGATTTCATTCCTTCAGACATGCAGAAGTGGGGATGGACAGCTGGATCACATCATAGCTTTATTTACAAGTTGTGAGGCACCTCATACAGTGCACGGGGGCCCCCTTTTTGCCACATCCACACCAGCACCCCTTGTTGCCTCCTTGGTTTTTAAAAACCAAGAAACATGCCAATAAAATATTACTAATCAATCTCCTCAGATGTTCTGTTCACAAGCAGCTGAATATCTGAGAACCCAGATTTCTCCAAATATGGACTGTTTAGCACCTGCACCAGGGTTTTCCAGACATACATTTAACAGGACAGATTCTTAAGCCTCAGGCTTATAGAACCACGATCCCTAGAAATGCGGCACAGAACCCTGGAGTTTTAGTGAGCTGCCCATGTGATTTTCATTCAATCAAGGATGGATAATAATGATCTCAATTGTGGTTATATTTATATTGTTTGTTTTAATTTTCTATGTCAGTAGGTTTACACACCATCTTCCATTCCGCCCCATTCTTCCCCCACCAACTACCAGAACTGCCTGAGGACATTTTTCACACTACACCTCTTGTACCCTCTTGGGACACCCAGGTGGTCCTGACAAGTGCCCCCACCCCCACCCTGACCCCAGCAGTGAGTCACGGCTGAGCTGGGTCACCGTTGCTGGAGGCTGTGTGGGATGCCTCAGGCGTGCTGAAATGGAAAATGTTTGCAAGCCATTATTTGCAAGGTTGGAGCTCACGGGCAGCATCTGCATTTCTCAAAACCATCATCCAAATCAGCATTAATTGTGGGGCAGGGTGAAAGTAAATGTTTTATAATGATACATCACTAAAGCTGGAAGGAGCCTTAGAAATCAACTAGCCAATGATTCTCAGCTCAGGCTGCAAATCAGAAGGCACATGGGAGCCTTAAAAGGATACCAATGAGGGAATGTACAGCGGAACATAGAGGATTTTAAATGCAGTAAAACTACTCTGTATGATGTTGTGATAGTAGATACACATCATACACTTTTCCAAACCCAGAGAACGTACGGCACCAAGAATGTACGGCACCCTAATGTAAATTGGACTTTGGCTGGTTACCATGTGTCAGTGCAGGTCATCACTGGTAACAAATGCACCGCTCTGGTGGGGGACGTGGACACTGGGGGAGGTTGTGCAGGTGTGGGCCAGGGAGCAGACAAGACACCTCTGTACCTTCTCAATTTTGCTGTGAACCTAAAACTGCTCTAAAAAATTCTATTAAAAAATTTAAAACCCATTAAAAATACTAATGTCTGGGTTCCAGAAAGACCCATTAAATGAAAATCTTGGGGGTGCATCATACATTTTAAAAGCCGCTTCTGTCCTTCTCGTGGGCAGCAGGGTTAGAAACCACCAACTTAGTGCCACTCCCGTGACTCTGTGTTGGCAGGACTAAGACCTAGAAGAGTGAACCGTCTGCCCAAAGCCACAGTTAACTAGTGCAATTTATGGGACTGCAGCCTGGGTTTCGGACTCCTTGCCCGGTGTGCTTTCCACAAAAGAGCAGGAACAGCAGAAAGTGAGACAGACATTTCTGCCTTTCTAGACCCTTCCTGCTTTGTTTTCACAGGCGCCTTCTTCTTTTAGTACAATCTGTGTCATCAAACTGAGGAGGGCAGGGATCAATCTATCCCTTCTCCTGGGGCCTAATATTAGATTTATCGGTGAACCTGCTTATCTGCCTTATTAAATTACAAGTTTCCTGAGGGTAAGGATAAGACAGTGCTCATTTTTGTGAACAGCGCCATACCTACGACAATGCCTCACACATGAACCGTCTGCAACACGTATTAGGTTGAGCTGGGCCCAGCTCATGTGAGAAAAATGCCCCCCCAAACAAAGTTAGTATTTCCTTTAAAAAAATGTACAACCATTTGTAGTATCTCCTTTTGAGTTTTGACATACGAGGTCCAATGATACTATAGGAATAATGCATTTTCATGGGAATATTGTTAAACTCTTTTTATAGGTCATAACAGTGTTGTAGGTTAAGACTCACAACAACGAAGCTCTAAGCTTTTGCTTATTTTGTACTTTATTGCTTGAGGGGAGGAGCCAGGGCATTTGGAAGATATGTTTTGAGTGACCGGGAATAGGTCTTTTTTAAAATGTATAAGGGAGTCTGAACACTAGGACCTCGACTACTCCCCTAAATGTCACCAAGGGGACCAGGCACAGAACCGCAGGCAGGAATGAACGTCAGGAATGAACGAGCGCCCGCGCGGAGTCCTCGCGGAGCCGGACGGCCGGAGCTTCTTCTGCCTGTCGCTGGGAACAGCAGCAGCCACGGGGATTTTTACTTCTAACCCACTGATTAATTTACACCCAGCCCCGCTCTCAACAGGCTATCTGAGGGCAAATAATTTTAAAAAGTTATTTCTTGTACTATTTTTGCTGTGCTGTGACAAGTTCAAACACCACATCGTCTAAGCTTGAAGGGACAGGCTGTGTGGGCCAGCAGGGCACTCACTTTGTTCACAAGGGTGTACAGGGCTTTGTCTTGTGCACCATATTTTAGGCACTGCCTGATCCAGGTGTGGATGGTCCAGTCTCTCAGGTACCAGCAGTTGGGGCTGTGTCGGAATCTAAAAAAAAATGTAAGAAAAGAGAAAACCGGTGTTAGCTCTTCAACGTCAAGGCCAAGTTCTCTGTCTTTCACCAGCAGGTACTTCTCTTAGGTATTTACAGGTGTGCAGTCCATGTGACCGAAGTCGTAACAGTCAACAGTCTATGAAAACTTGAGGATAAAACTCATTAACTATCTAGTCTGAAGTGGGAAAGAGAAGGCAAAATAATAACAAACAAAAATATAAAAATTGTATTCCTTATTTAATACCCCCTAAATCAACATCCTATTTTCATGTGAGATTTATGAAAATGATTTGGGGGAAATACTGAACCATGGTGTTACGTGAATTCATACTTCAGCAGAAGGGAGACGTGAAGCTGAAGCTGACAGCTCAGAAGTTCATGACAACACAGATGAACAGAGAGCAACAGAACAGAACAGCTACTCGGCAAGGAAATCAGCTTTGTGTCATACTGACATTTCTTGTGGTACTCAGGAGAGACTGGGATACCTTTCACTGGACCAAGAGGAAAAAATTATAAAAATTAAGCAAAACTGAACATGCGGGCCCTCTGGGTCCTCAGGCTCCACGGCCCCGCTGCCTTCTTCATAGCTCTATTCTAGCACCTCAGCCTTTCTCTTGCTTCCTACTGGGTTTTAAAAGGCAGTCCCAGCTAGCTCGCATATGGTAACACTGTTGCCACAAAGAAAGGAATTCGCAATACTACGCTTGCCTTGAGTTTGCACACACTGGTCACACGCTGGGTTTGAGCGCTGCCTCTTGCTGCCAGCAGTCCGGGCCACGGTCCCAGTGGGGGCAGCTGGTATACAGGGCTTGGCGTATACAGGGCTTGGCGGTGCACACTTTGTTTACATTTTTTTGTTGGGATGGATCCTCAAACATCATGTGTCCACTAAAGTGCCCACTTACTCTTTAACCTGATGGAATTAGGTCAATCTCTGGGCCCTACAAAAATCGAATTGTTTTCTTAAAAACAAAAAGGCAAGACAAAAACTTGGAGCATGAGGATTTTGTGCCGGATTTCAGAGTCGGGGCTGCGGGCTGGTATCAGTTTTCCAGAGGCTGCGTATGCTCTCTGCCACCTGCCACTCCCTGCCATCTGCTACTGGGAAGGCTTCCTGCTGAACAGGCTCTCTTGCTGAACAGCGAGCAGAGGAAGAGAGGAAAAGTGAGAAGTAGTATTTAATTTAGGCTATTTATTAGTGCTCTGGTTAGAGATTTGGCAAAAATAAAACCTGAAGATTTTTTATGGATTTAGAATCATCTAGCCCTTTCCAGTCTTTCGAATATCTCAGATTTGGGGCTCAGAAAATGTCTCTCTCACTGTCTTCCTCTGCAGAATTAACCCCTTTAAAAGCATAAAGGTAGAAATTGGCCAAATTATGTTCAGGTTGAGAGTGACCTGGCCCCAGAAGGGCGTCGTACCAGGGCCCGAGGTACCAGATCTAATGAGATCCTCCACACAGAAGTCAAACAAAACATGTCCTTTATTATTCCACGTGTTCCCTCACATTTTTGGATCAATTGTTGAGCCACTTGGGTTCCTCTCCTTGTACTCTGAAAAATCTGAGATCTAAAGTGTAGTGGCCAATAAAAAGTTAGTTTTAGTTTTTAAAGAAAAAAGTCATGGCATGCCAGGTGGATCGCCTGGGTGATGGAGATGCTTGGTCCCCAGCCCGCAGCCTCCCCGGGCAGGCAGGGCGGGGCTGGCGTGCTCGGCGCCGACCCTCAGCGCCTGACGCGCGAGTCCAGGCCCGTGGCAGGTTTTCAGCAATAAAAAAGAGCTTTAATCAACACATATGTTAAATGCTATAATGTACTGATCATTTTGCTACCAGCTATTATATGAAGAAATGTAAATTGCCTGTTTGGGGCATTTAAAGTCTCACTACAAAAACGAAGCATACGAAGTTTAACGGTTTCACAAGGTGGAACAGTAAATTCTAAAAGAGCACTGCTGGTCGCCAAGAGGTGTCTTTGGTGTTAGGTTCGGTACATTTTTCCTTTTAAACGCAAAACACAATAAAAATGTCAATTACTTCCTTTACCCAAGATTATTTTAAACCTAATTCTCATTTATAATCTAATCTTCTGCATCAGAATGTCTCCAATGACCACTAACATTAGGACTTTTCGTTTTGATGGACTTTGAAATAAGAGCACCATGACCATTTCCAACCAGGCATCCTTTCCTCTCATTCATGATCAGCAGACCATTTGTAGGCTTTGAGCAAGGATGACAAAGTCTGAAAGGACCTAACTACGGAGCTTCAAAGCTTAAATTAAAATCTGTTTAAAGCCATTTGCTAACCTTCTGAGGCTAACTTCAACACATAGAAGGAAAAAGTCTTTTCTTCTCACCCTCTATTTTTTAGAAGCCTAAAGTGAAGTTACTCAAGACTTCCCACCTCCAAGAAAACCACCGCACTGCAGCCCTCTGAGAGATTTGTCAACAGACGCAAAGGGGTCGTTAGTAAGTCTACTCTGTCCTGCATCCTGGAACAGGGCTGCTCGGCGTGATCTCTGCTCTCTAAACCTGAGAATCCAGATACACAACCACGACTAGAACATTCTCAGTTAAGTGGCAACATTAAATTGGTTTAGGAGTAAGAGGGTTACGGGGCATACATTACAAAATATGCTGCCCAATGTGCAATTCCTGAATTTCTCAGCCAGGCAGCAAAAAAGCCCCATCAGTTTAAAAAGAAATCAGGACACAACAGATAGGAGTAGCTATTTAGAAAATAAACAACTCAACATACTGAGATAGTAGGGTCCACCTTCAGATGGTGAGTTTGGAAAGAATTCCTCCATCACTGAGTTTTGAAGCAGTTCAGACAGATAAACCTGGGCCCTTTTCAGAACTGCCAGAGTGATGTGACAGGCAGGTGAGTCTCAGGAAGGGGTTCTTGCCTGGCGCGACTCTGCTAGACCAGCATCTGCCCTTCCAGCCAGGAGAAAGGCGAAGAGACAGGAACACAACTAACACACTGGTTTTCCAATGCGCCTGCAAACAGACTGGCCTTTGTTCTCGCCTGCGCTGACCACCGGCCTGCCAAATTACAGGCAGCCACGTAGGAGTCCCCTCTGTGACCCATGCCATCAGCTGTTTGCTCTCCTCGACAGAGCGTTATTATTGTCTGGGCCAGCAGGCTGCCGCACTAGGCAAACCTTGTGCATGGAGAAAAGATAAACACAACCCAAGTAACCCCAACACTGTTTGTGCTCATGAAGGCAAGAGGCATTCTGAGCTTCCAGCTTACAAAATACAAGTAAACTTACAACAATTTTAAAGATATCAGTATTTCTTGGAGGAAGAAGTGTCTCCAAAAGGAGGAAAGAATGAAGGAGTACGCTCTCAAGTCCTAGCTCTAGTTCTAAAAGCTGGGTACCAAGGGCTGATCCCTGTCCACGGTGCTAAGTGGGGTTGCCCGGTGAAGACAGAACCTCCTGAGGAAGCCAAACCATGGCCAGTGAGATGGCAGGAATCGAGAAGCTGCCTCTCCTCAAAACTCAAGCTACATTCGACTCTTCAGGGCACCTGCCTCCACTGTTGCTCATTCAAGACTGATGTTGACAAGAAGGAAGCAGAGCAGAATCACAGGCTACAAAGTTGACAAGGGGGCAAAAGTCTTTGATGCCTTAGAGATATCTTAGGAGGGAAGAGCTGTTACATAAAAGAAGCCAAGAGTGAAGGGAAAAACACTGGAGACTTACTATGATTACATAGAGAGCAGTTTACTGTGTGTAAGTCACATGGGATTTCCTATTTGTGACAAATTTCATCCTCTCATTAAAAACATAAGTGGGATGGAGCCTTTCTCTCATGGGATTCAAATAAAGGTTGCTGTTGCAGGCAGAAGTGGCAATGCCCATCAGCTCTCTCAGCGTGACGGGCAGAAGCGCTCCCGGCTGAGGGGCCCATGACAGATGCCAGAGCCCGGAGCTCATCTGCTCCACCATTTAGCAGCAGCGCCGGCTCTTCCGTATGAATGAGCAAGCTTTCCACAACGTTTATCTGATCATGAGAGCCACCACCCTGACACACGCACAGGCAGCTTCCCCTCCCCCAGTGAATTCAAATTCCGTATCCTGTGGCAACAGGCTTTACAGATGGAGACCTCAGTCCCTGGGCTGGGCTGACATGGAGATGGGCAAACGGGTAGAGGGAGGAAAGAAAGAACGCCAAAAAGAAAGTACAGCTGGCTCCAGCCCTGGCTGGGTGGATCAGCTGGTTGGAGCGTTGTCCATACACCAGAAAGATGTGGGTTCTACACCTGGTCAGGGCACATACATAGGCTGCAGGTTCAATCCCTGGTTGGGGCGCATATGGGAGGCAGCTGATCAATGTTTCTCACATCACTGTCTGTCTGTCTGTCTCTTTCTCATGTTCTCTCTCACCACTCTCTCTTCTTCTTTCTCTAAAATCAATAAACATATCCTCAGGCGAGAATTAAAAAACAAAACAAAATAAAATGAAATAAAACTACAGCTGGCTCCAAAGCCTGTAATGTGAACTGGGAATCTCACCGATGAACAAAAGTGTGTAATCAGGAAAAGGTGTGAGTGCAACGTGAACAGAACCGAAGTGGGTGTCACGGGATGATTGAAACCAGAATCTGATTCAATCACTGCCACCCTCTAAACAGATGATGAAGTCTTTTGCCTTCTGCTGGAAATTCTGCTTTCATCAATTACTAGTTGCCCCTACCTACTACAAATAAAATAAAATTTTGATGACTGTCACTTTCTAATGACTATTTTTGTCAAGTTTTTAAAAAGGGGGCAGAGTCTAATGTAGGAGGTGAAAATAAAGACATCAATAGATTAAAACCCTTTTTCTGCTCGAGATCCCAGATTCTTCCTTATAGGGAACCTTCAGTTAATTTAACTTTCAGCAAACATGTCCTGAATGCACCAGGTGAAACAGCAGGAGCAAGATCCCCTCCAAAACACACCCTACCGACCCAAAGGTCAACCAGTCTGGGCTTAAA